TAAACAATTGTCATATCATTACTAAATCTGATGATTATTTTCACTGTTTTTGGCCTAAATGTCAGTTCAGGACAACAACTAAAAATACATTTACAAGACACCAATTAATTCATTCATTAATAAAACAATTTAAATGTGATTTTATTAATTGTAATAAAAGTTATAAACAAAGTTGTGATCTTCAAAAACACAAAAGAGTTGTTCATTTAAATAAAAAGGAATACAAATGTAATGAAAAAAATTGTGGCAAACGTTTTGGCCAAAAATCAAATCTAATTCGACACAAACGCATACATTCGGGAGAAAAACCATTTGTTTGTCATTTCAATGATTGTAATAAACAATTTTCCGATTCATCTTCTCTTAAAATACATATGAGAAGACATCTGAATATAAAAAGCTATAAATGTATTCATAATAACTGTAATCAACGGTTTGTCACAAAATTTGAATTCCAATTACATGTGAAACGTATTCATTAAAATTCTAACACAACTAAACATAACAAGGGTGTTTTAAATATTATAATTATTTATTAATTTAAGTATGCATTTTAGAAATAAATTATAGAATTTAATAAAGTGAACTGATAATCATGTAATTGTTAAATGTCAAATAAAACAATTTGTCCTAAACTTATTAATTAGTTTATGTTTAGATTGCATTTACATTTCAATGGAATATAAAGTATTCTTCATGATATAATTTAGCTTATTATGGTTAATATAACTTGATACTTTGAATATTTGGTAACTTTTAAAATTAATTTTTGTGTAAAACTCGTTTCGAAATCATAATCGATACAATCGTGACATGAAATTAGCATTTATAACACAATAAAACACCGGTTACTGAATTATACCGTTTATTATTATTCAGTAAATGTCTAATTAATATCCTTTAATTTGCTACAAATGTGTGGTCACACTTAAATCATACAATAGCAAATGTAGCAATCTTTATTGTACTAAACATATACCACTATTATATTCTTTAATTTACTAAAGTCTACATAATGTACTAAATTGTATACTTACAATATTATCAATTGAGCACTTATGCAATTAGCACTACAGTATATGCAATTAGAACTTGCAAATATTTTTATTATCATATTACATTACGTTAAACAAATCAGCTAATTACTGTAACCTTGAGCAATAATGATAAAATTGAGTATAAAAGTAGCGATGTTTTAATATTAATAGTAATATTTTTAGTTGTTTATACTAATATTACAAGAATTAGTTTATTAAGTTAATTCACATTGTATTTAATCTGTGAATGCAAAAAATGTCCATGTTAACAAAATTAATATTATTATTCGTGGCAGATATTCGCACCACTATAATAACTTTAACCATAGGTTATATTGCATATAAATTAGCAAGGTTCTATCAATTGAGGTCCAAACTGCCTCCCGGTCCAAATCCGTGGCCAATCATCGGCAATATATTACGTGAGTAAATGATATTCAATACAATATTTGTGTAATATTTAAAACATTTTAATCAGTATTCAAAAGGAAAGATCATTGGGATGTTGTGTTGAGAGAAGTGGCCAAACAATACGGCCCGACATTCACTTTCTGGCTCTTCAATAGACCACTAGTGGTCGTGACGGACATCGAGACGGCCAGAGAGGCCTTCAGGAAGAATGACTTCGCCGGTAGAGACATGTCATACACCGGTAAACAGTGTTTTTAAATATAGTTTTAATTAAATAAATATTTGTAAAAATAAAATGCATGTAGGTAACTAATTAAATAATTATTACCATGTTGAATAGCGAGGCAATTTTCAAATGAAAAACAATCGGACATAATATTTGCCGATTACGGGCACCGATGGGAGGCGTTGAGACGAGTGGCACATTCGGCCGTACAGTATGTCCCGGTTTTAGGCGGCCCTTAATTAGAGAATTTTATTAATTAATTGTTTTGAAATAAAATTAGCAAATATTCAACGAATGAAAGACTGGTTTCTGTGGCCACCGATTCAGTCGATCGTACGGTTAAACAGATGTTAGAGAGGGAAGGAGTGGGCAATGGTTTTGATCCCAAGACATATATCTATTTAATGTTTCTCAACATATTGGCCACCAGTGCTTTTGGCATTAGGTTTGTTACATTAAATATATAAATTATATATTATTAATAAATTGTTTAAAATAATTATAATTTAGTTACGACTTTGAAGACCGAGAATTCAAATTTATTAAATATTTATTGAAAGATTTCCCGAAACAAGTGGGCTCTCGAGCCTTCTTATGGGAATTCTCGTCAATAATACGATTTTTAGACCGAAAAATGGTTCACAAAAACGATAGACTGACCAAAAAATTCATTGATTTAATTAAAAATAAGTTTACAAAACATTACGACGACTATAACGAGTCGATTGAACGGGACTTTTGCGATGCACTCATCAGTGCTAAGAATGACGCCCTCAGAGACGGCA